TACAAAACAAAATAAATGAGTAGTGGACCTGGTTTAAAGAATTGTATAAATAACAAGACACCCAAACTCAAAATTACACATCTCCATTGTTAGTGAATGTCCTTGCACATCATTAACCCTGTTTGGCTTTTATTTATAAATATTCAAACAAATGAGATCTTAAGACTGCCAAAACAAAAAAGAATCACAGTTCATTATACCTCATTTCCTTTAATGTTTTTCATCGACTTCTCAAAGATTGGAACTGCTTCAATCAACACATAAAAAATAGCCCTGTGGTTCTAAAAGTATTTCAAATTAATTATATTCTCCAAAGAATTTTTTAGCAAGCAATGAAAGTATAAACTCAGCTGAGTAAATCCATTCTGCGCCCATCTGGGAATATAGCCTTTACATACTAGTTTTGTGACTATCAAGGGTTTTATTATGAATGTAGAAAAAGTAAGTGGACTACACTAAGAAAGATTTTCTTCTAAAACAAAAGCATTAATTAACCATCTACTGCTCAGAATACAGCAAGGAGGATGTTTACTACTTGACCTTATAATCATAAGCCCTCCTATTCATTTGAATAAATTAGTAGAAGCAGCAGTCTTTTAGAGTTAAATGTAATGGAAATCCCAGTCTTTGGTCTTTGACATTTAAACAGCTAATGAACTGCAGTATAGAACAATATGAGTAACAATGTTCAGTGAGGTCATTCATTAGTTTGTGATTGTTTTAAAAGAATAAAAATACGTTACTTTACAATAATGATACTTTGCAATATTCATTACTGTACCATACAAGAATACATAGAGAAAATAATTTCTCCAGGTATCTTTGACCAAAGCCACTGAAAAAGTAAGGTGACAATACCTGATTAATATGAAACTCAAATGTGAATTTTGCTTTGATGGCTGTATGGAGAATATGGCCATTAAGCAGCTTCAACTACAATATTTAGTATTTTGATATTGATGTGATCCTCTATAACATTCAGCCACTTAAATGCCTTAAACCCTCTCCAGCCCTCTACCTACTGCTGTCTCATACAGAGACATTATTTTAGCAATGGCATAATTTATTAGGAGTTTTATTGTATCAAATGACAATTTTATAAAATGAGGCCCTACCCAATTGAGTCATTCAGTTGCTAAATACAAAGGATTTTGAATGGCATGACATATAAAAAAAATCAGCAATTGACCTTTGTGATAAAAATTACTTCCTCTTTAAAAAGAATGCTTTTTCATTTGATGGACTAAATAATAATAGAATGATCAAGAGTATTAGTATTTGGCAAATATTTCTATTGATTTCCTAAGCAGTCATTTTTAATAATATCCAGAGATATTCTTTTTCTTTTTAATGTCAACCAAATTACTAAAGTCTGTCCACAAAGCATCATTTTCTAAAAGGGACCTTAATGTTCAAATGGAAAGAGCAAGAAAGGGAGACAGTAAAAGGGGCAGGGAGTAGGAGGCTGGAAAGATTTGTATGTCAACACTGATAAGCAAGATGTTAAGGAGGAGATTGGTCATGCCAGTTCAGACCGGGCTGCCTACCTCAAGACTGCTGAGCCTTAATTGAGCCCATGAAATTTAGAAGTGAAAGTAGCCAAAAAATCTTCTAGTTTGATGTACACCTCTCAGAGATAAGTAAGCTCTGCCAAGACAATTATATTTCTTTAGGTCCCGTGAGTAGGGAGGGGCAGCAATAGATTGGAACTCCTGGTTCCATTTTCAAAGATTTGGGTTACTGAACTCTCAGATTTTCTGGTTAATGTAAAATTTGAAGTATTATCTTAAATCCTTTGTCATATAATTTTGTACCAGATTATAAAGCTTGTGGTTCATAATGAAACAAGAAAAAATAGGACAAAGGAGTACTGGGTAGAAAGAGACATTGAGGGAAAAAATGAAATTTGGAAGTGTATATTTTTTAGAAGTATGTTACTGAACTATTCTGAGAGAATACAGTATTTGCCATCTTTGCTTTCTCCTTTTAACCCCATCAGCTGAACTCAAATACTTCTCAGTTTACTTGTTGCTACCTAAGGATTTCAATGGTAAGAATAGTCAGTTCTCTTCCTTCCAACCCCCTATCTTGCCTACCGGCATTTCTACCTTCCCCCTTCCTGCCTTCTCCAGCTAAACTGAGCGCAACCTTTGGAGTTCCTGCACTACACTTAAAGAATAATTTTTTCCTTAGTTTGATTTAGAAAAGATGAAATTTGCATCTACCTAAACTACACTGTATTTACATGTGTTGTGATGGGAAAATGGTACTATTAAAACAGATAATGAATCTGCTTGGGTAGTCTGCAATAAAGGGACCGTTGCATTAAGAAAGAATTTAACCTTTTATAAGAAGCTTAAAGACTTTAGGGCGCGATCTTCTACTTCTTTAGCAGAAGCTTGAACTCCAAGGCTGAGTTTATACTTAGATGCTAAGGAATATAAAGCAGCCAGTCAAGGAATTTAAACCAATTATTTAGTGTTGGATAGGAGAGTTATCTGTATCACACTTTTTTCCCTAAATCGAACAGATATTTTTACACCATTTAGATACAGTCACAATCTCTTAATATATATTTCTCTTTAATTGTTTCTAAGGCATTTCAGAATATATTTGAATTTAGCAGCCCTCACTAGATTTGGTTTTTATACACTTTTGTCTCCTCGCTCTTTTCATCTTTTCTCCTCTTGTGACATACAATTTAAATTTTCAGTGGCCTCTTCTACCTCTTATAATATTTGCTTTTGGAATTAGACCACATTAGAACTGAAAGGAATCTCAAGTGACATTGATTCAATACTTCTGCTGTAAAGTCGAGTAAACTGAAGCTCGGAGGTATTCCCATACTGCCTAAATTGGCTGCTGATTAGAAGACAGAGCTGAGATTGGAAACACAGCTAATCAGTAATCAAAAAAAAATTGTTCCCGTAGATTAAGATACTTTCTAATTTTTTAAATTTAGAGATGTTTTGAACTTGAATTAAGACTCAAATTAATATATGTTTTCCTAAAAAGTCCATAACAGCAATTAGCATCCATTAATTTCTCAAAATTTCTTCTACTTTGTATTCGTATTTTGCAAAAAACAATGCAAGAATTTCTCACGTTAAATCCTAATGTTTTAACTTAAACAAATTGAACTCTTGTGTTACGACTTTTAAGCAAATGCATATCTTAATTTGTACTCCAATACTGATTTCAAATTTTATATAATAAGCCCAAACACAAGTCAAGTTCTATATTAAAAGTAGTAAAACTGCACTAGCTTTCTGATTCTTCTGCTATGTATAGAATGCATTTAACGAAATGGAGCTTTTTCAATTATTCAATATAATGGATTATCCGAATGAAATAATTCTGGCCAAATGGTTCACTCTGTTGCTGGTGTTACCCAATCTTCCTACTTCCACTACTCAAATAACTTGAACATGTTCCAATCTCCCACTTCACTCTGTGCTGTAGAGGCCTGAATTCCCAAGTTTCCATCCAGTTTCATTCTGGACCCCCAGAATGAAGCTTCCAGGCACCTGTAACCGTGTGCATCGCAGGGCAGGGCAAGACTGACTGACATGTGAAAATTAAGGACTTACCTTATAGTAATCAAGTCATTTTCCCATAATAGAAAATGTTTAACACAATTTTACATTCTTGGATTCTGTAAGTTTCAGAAAATTTGACTTAAGGAGTGCTGTGATAAACAAATCTACAGTATTCTGGAGTTATTTATTAGAAGCTAATTTATAAAAATTAGCAGTGGAGAATGGGAAGAACTGTGACTTCTGGTAGTGGGGTAGCTTAACAGTCTGAGAAAAGTAACTAAATATTAAGAGTGGAAGGAAAACAAATTCCTTAAAATATGAATCTAATGGAGTAAACATATTTTCAACATTTGTGAACATTTGTATTTTTTTTTTTACTTTGAGCAGGAATTTTGAATTTAATTTCTACTGTCCCTAAATCTTAATCTCCAATAAAAATACATAGATATAATTCTGTGGATGATATTCCAATGGAAAGTGAATCTATTCTCAGCATTATGCATCACATTAGTATATATTTATTGAGAGGATGTTTGAATTTTAGCAGTCAGAGCCAAGTATAAGGTGAATGAAGCAAACAAATAGTGTACTATTAGAACCTCAGTGTAACAAATAGCGTGTGGATTCCTCACCACCTGTACTCCCCTCTTAATCCTATTTCATGTTGCAATAAGTTAGATGTTTTGTTAAAAGTAAATACATCACATGCAATAGCCAAGTAAGTACTACATAAGGCCATTCAGATCTGACAGATGAGAGTATAATGGTATTTTGTTAATTCTGTAAAGGTTATATTGCTGAGTGCTTTCAAAATTGCCTAATGTACAAAATTCTAGACTTAGTAGACAAAGAGTAATAACACATTGATTTGAAAGAAACAAATAAAACTCAGAGTGGGATTCTATCTTGTTTTGTTTTGTTAAAAATCATGTATTGAATTTAATTTTTTAGTAAAGCAAGCATTACGTAATGCTTTAAAAATTTAAAATTCAGGGAAAAAACGTTTACATCCAAAAAGATGAGTGGAAAATTGTGCTTTCAGACTGTAGTATTAGTTTTCTTACAGGGTTAATTAAGCGTTTCATCTTGCCATTGGATACTGGGAATATCATCTATGTAATGGATATATGTGCAGTTCATATCCAGGTCCTGCAAAAATCTAAAACTGTGTGCTTCACTTCATGTAGCAAAGGCACCTATGTTATTCTCCCTTTTGAGCAAAAGTTATGATCCATATTTCCTGCTGAAAACGAGACACTGTTCTGTCACCCGCACTCTCTGTGTTGAGCAGTACAGTAAGTCGCCAGAGAAGGTGGGGGCAAGTCCCTGCGTACGCTGCACAAAGTCGCTCTGTGGACCATTTGAAGAAGCTCTGGACTGATCACAAGGGAAACCGAGCAGAACTGTGAAGCAGACAGACAGGAACAAAGGCTATTGTGGTGTGAGGAGAAGTCGGTCCCTTCAGCTCCACAAACAGATGTTGCTACTGTACTGGCAGGTGGAACCCACTCCTGCTGGAGAAAGGTAAAGTTTGCCATTGGGGCACACGCACAACTCATACACTGTCTGTCGAGCATTTGAAGAGCTGGGTGAAGACGAGAAAGAGCCGGTCGGCAGATTTCCCAGCCGAATTGTGTCCGCGTTCAAAAATATCTAGAGGGAAAAATTGCATTTTAATTCATTTCAGCATTCTCCCATTCCTCAGAGCTTTACAACATGGCCTAATAAGAAAGGCTACACAACAAACAATTCTATTGGTTTAGCTGCCATGCTTTGTTGAACGAACAAATGACATGCCTATGGTACAGCCCAAAAGCTCTACAGCTGTCTTCTCCTTTGAGACATGATGAATTCTGATGGAAAGTCCTTGATCTGAAAAAGCAATATGTACAATCTGCTTAAGAAGCCAGCTCTGTTACTCAAACACCACAGAAAGTTCACGATTTTGACAGAGTATCTCATGTTAACTTCTTAATCATGCCTAGTTTAAAGAATATGCAAGGAACTTCAAAGTTTCTACAGTCATGGACCCCCAAAGGAAGCTTCTATGCCCTGGGACAGTGTACATGGGGGAAGGGGAGGGTCTTCATGGAGATGACGTTACTGAAGGGAGGGGAAATTAATAAAACAAATGACTCGAGCCTAGTTTTTAAAAATACTCTCTACAAGGTGTTGACAGGCTGTCTAAAAGATATACTTAGTAGGTAATCTGCAGAGTTAACAACAGATAATTGATAGAATCAGGTTTGAAGTCTCCATGAAACATATTACTTATGCTCAACACCTACTTTGCTGTATCTTCTAACTTGCAAGATCATGCACTCCAAACCATGGACTTACCACTTTTAGGGACAGTGATCACATGGTTTTGACATGCATGGGGAAAGATCCAAAAAAGGGCAAAGTGGATCAGGAACTTGAATGAGGAAAAAAAAAAAAACACTAAGACAGAAACCAACAAAAACCTCTCTCTAGCCATTCCTTTATCCTATTCCTATGTAGTAAATTACTGCCTACAGACATCTTTAAATTGACAGGAGAATCAGAGAATACACCATTTTCTCCATACTTATCCTCATGCAAGTCTTAATTCACATCTTACTAGGACTCTAGAAATAGCTGTCTACCTGGCCTACCCAGCTGCTATTCTTGCTCTCTTATAGTCTGTCTTACATATTGCTGGAGTAAACTTTTATGAAATGCAAATCAGATTGCATCATCCCAGTTCTCAAAATTCCCAAACTGTCTCCACTTCATTTAACATGACTCTTGATTCCTTTTTGTGACCGACTAGCCCTACATGATCTGGCCTATCTCTCTAACATCATTTCTTATAATTCTTCTTGCTCCAGCTCTTTCATTTCTTCAAATAAACCAAAATGACTCTGGCCCAAGGGCATTTTTATTCCCTATTTCTTTAGCTTGAAATACTTCTCTGCAGAGATATGCAAGTAGGGGTAGATGGAGTTCCACTGTTAGCCTCTTTCATACTTTTAAAATTTTGAAACACAGTAACTAACTGCCTATGCAAATGAGCCAGAAAAAGGGTTCATAGACCATGGTCATGCATAATTTAGATTAATTTGGATGTGAGCATGTTTGAGTGTCTGCTATACGGTCACCCTCTCAAAAAAGGACTTTCCTAGTCTTCCTACTAAAATAGCACTGATCCTTGCATTAATTTCTCCTCCACAGTTTCACTTTTCTTTAGAGTAACCATCCCTTCTTCACATTTATTGCTTTCACTCATTTATCGTGCTTCTCTTACATAAAAGTAAGATCTGTGAGGGCAGGATCTGTCTTTGGTCCATGGTTCATAGAGCTGTGGCAGTACTTGTGTGAAATAACGCTCTCCCTTCCCCTTGCACATGCCTCTCCACTCCTGGGTACAAATGTCACTGCCCACCATGGACCCTTCCCTGATACTCTGAGAGAAAGACTCTGTATGTGGTTCTCCTGTAGCACTTTACTGTTATTAATATCTTATTTTGCTAATATTTTATATATTATTTTATAGTCTGATACATATATCTTATTTTTCCTTGAAGATGGAATCACACCTAAATATGTTTATAATTCCCCAGCATTTGACCCTGCATATACGACACCCACTTAAGACAAACAGTTGTTGAATAAATGAATAGATTATAAAATAAATGAATGATTACCTTTACCAACAGTATTCAAAGTTAAGAAAGCATCTTTACTCTTGAGTTAAGTGAGAGGAAAATAAAGAGAAAAAAAGGTTTTCTGTTTTAATTATTTTAAGAAGATATTTTTTTACTGGTTTAAAAATTAAAAGTGAACAAAACCAGCAAAAGAAAAGAATCCATTTTTGGGTATGGAGGCTGGGCCTCATTTCCTCTGACTCTGCTTCCACGTTGAGGGTCATCAATGACTGTAACCCATTGCTACACGCTTCGGCTTCCTCCGTGCTTTTCTCCACGGGGGAGGGATGACTCCTCTTACTGAATCTGAGGGTTTGCGTTGGAGCCAGGAACGGGGCTGCAGAGCCCTCGCCGCCTCCTCCCTTCCTTCTAGGAGCTGGCCTGCTTGCAAAGCAGACATTCTTACGCTCCAAAAGCACTGCGTGGCACGCTCTGGGACTGTGGGATTTCGGCCTGCGTACTTGGAGGTGAGTCCTCAGAAGAAATGTTAGGCGCTGGTGTTTTGCCCAAGAAACCTTCAGACACAGACGATAAACGGGGGGCCATGGAAAGCAAAAGAGCATGTGAATAAGGAGGCTCGCGTAGGGTTGATCGAATGACTACAAGATCCTGTGAATGGTTCGCTCTTAGGAAGCACAGAAGTAAATGTTGCGGGTGAGCCCTGGTGGTCCGCAGGGCCTTGCTGACACCAAGCCGCATCGCTGGGCTTTATGGTTTGGAACCAATTGTCTTTCCATTGGTGTGGCCTGAGGGAATACATGCAGAGCAGCTGTTTCCATACAGGTAGGGCACACCGGGCAGCAGCCTTGGAAAGCAAGCACAGGCTAGAGACCTCGTCAGTGGCTTTAGCCTTGAAGCTCTTGCTGCGGGGCCGGCTGCAGCTGAGCTGCAGCGCTGCCCCCAGCTCTCCCATCCACTTGGGGGCTGCTGTCACAATACTTCGTTATACGACAATACTTAATTCCATAAACTTCTGATATCCAAACTGTAGCATCAACCACATATAAAGGAGGCATATTTTATTAATGGTTAATTAAAATGAACAGGGCCATTACAAAGACAAAATATTTTCTTGGCTTGAGAGAGAGAATGTCACCAGGTAGGGAGGGCTGGTATATATTGATTCTTTCCAACCCGACACGGCTCAGCTTCTCCAGGCTCCTACAGCACGGATGGGCTTGCTCACAGCTCTTTCTGTCTGCTAAAGCAGTTACTATCATACCGTTCGCTTTCCAACTTCTAAAATTGATATTTCTATTCTATAGTGTCCTATAAACCATATAATCCATTTGTTTCGAAACTCTTCCTGGCACTTCAAACTACACCTCTGAGGTTCTAACTCATGGCCCATTGTCTTTTTGTCACCAAGAATTCATATATCCCATCCTTACCTGTTGAAATTAGACCCATCACTATAAGAAAAAAATCTGAATCACTTTGCAAAATAAAAATTGTTTCCTTCTTCCTCGGAGATCTTACATATATTATTACGTTATTGCTTTGCATGTACTAATAAAATGCTTTCAGTGTTCTTATGATTCAGGTTGTTTTCAGAGCTGAATTTGAAATGCCTTGCAACATTATGTCAAAAATAACTGAATCTTCTGCACTGCAGAATTCTGTATGTAATTTCATTCTCACACATTTTGTTCATGCTATGCCTGTTCTAATTTTAACTAGTTTAAAGCCTATCTAAAGGTAAACTTGACATCTTTCTATATTGTTTAGTAAATGATCAATCTGCCTCTCTGTGGCATAGTCAATAAAGCAAAGATTTTATATCATTTCACATTTCTTTGTTGGAAAATTACATGTTATTCAGTCTCATATAAAGTGCTGTGCTTTACTATATCTTTGTTTTCTTAATATAAAAATGGCCACAGCTGAAAAATCTCTGGGTATGATTTATTTATAGCATAATCCTCAATTCACAATTAAGTGACGACCTCTAATTGAATCCAAGGAATCTGCTGATACTTTGAATAAAAGAACATCAGTAAAGTGGTACATAAGTAGGAGCAGAACAGAGATTAATAAGCACTAATATTTATTATGGGATGATCCACTATGAATAATTTGAATGAACTGATTAGCATGATAAAAGCAACTCTTTAAAAAGGATGTGAGATATTTAGAAAGATTTCTGTCTTGCTGTGGAAGACAAAGTATTTTATGTTGTCTGTAATAGTAGTGGAAAGAAACCCTAAAAGGTAATGTGGATAGATTTTTTTAAAATATTCTAAAGTATATTTATAGATCATTTAGGTTTAATATCACTAAGATGTGAATGTGGTCCTGAACATGACTTTGTTTATAAAAATGAATCAAAATATATAATTAAAATTTATCTTGAATCAATAACTGAGATAATGGCAAAAAAAGTAAAAAAAAAAAAAAAGAATGCCTCCCTTTGATTGTATTAATTTATGCTCTCATCTTTACATCTGAAGAGGAATAAAATGCTCCAGAAAATCTCTTAAATTAGACTTCCATTCTTTTTTTCTCAATTTAAACTTTGTAAGTTCATAATAAAAAGTGAATAAGCACACAAGGGAAGAAAATACTGGAGGAATTAATTGGTATAAACAGCAATAGAACAGATTAGAACTTCAAGGACTTTGAGAATTAAAATAAAACTATACAGAATAGTATATGCATTATGAATAAGGCTTTGAAATAATTAAGGCAGAATTAAAAACAAATGAGCAAAGAAAAGAGCAACTACCAAGATGACCAGGCAGATTTGAAAAAACAGCAGATGAGAATCCTAGAAATGAACAACATAATTACCAAAATTAAAAGCTCAATGTAGGTATTAAATATGCAATTAGATACTGGAGAGGAATCTGGGCATGTAGATCAGAATATATAAGCAGGGTGAGGCACAGGGAGACAAAGAAATAGAAAGCAAGGAGGAGTTAAGGAATCCGGAGGGCCAGGCAATAAAAAAGTATGGCGTTTCTACAGTTCCAGAAAAAGGCCACAGAGAAAGAGCAGGGCGGTAGTATGTGAAGACACCTACTAAATACTTTTCAGGATTGACAAAAGTGTGACTCTACAGACACAAAAAATCACAACGTACACAGCAAGAAAAGTAAATGAAATAAATGTGTATCTATTGCATTAGCATGCAAGAGAGGAAGACCAAAGACAAAGGATTCTTGATTTTTAAAGGAATGGCAACAGACTTAAAGGAGCTTCTTGAGGAAAATAAAGTGAATGGAGGAAAACTATTATTGAGTATCTTCGGATCCAGGAAATAACCAGTAGGGCTGGACAGTAAAATAACATTTTGTTTTCCTTTTAAAAAAGATAGGCACTACTTTTACAGAAACAAACATCCAAGGTAATTTTTGGAAGAATGTTTTGAAGAATGAAATAGAATTAAAAAAAAAAAGGTTAATTTATTCTTAATATTATCTTGATATTTATTAAATTGCCCCACTTATATGTCAATGTCTTTCAGAAGAAAATAGAGCTCTGACTTAAGAAAATAACATTTGGCTTACTCAATTTCATGTTCAAGAAGAAACAGTAATACGTTCACATTTAAGCTCTCTTACGAGGCAGTTTTCTCTGCCTCACCTGGAACCGTATACTTTGAGAGGAAGGATCCTTACTAGCGCAGAGCTGCTCTCTACCCCTGGGAACTCACCTCCCCCTCTGTAGACTGCAAATGGAGCTCCTTCCTGCAGGTGGCCTTGAAGTCTCCTGCAGCAGCTCGCACCTGGACCCCTCGGGGAGCTTCCATTATCAAGGACCTGGTTGGTGATTCAAGCCTAAGGGAAAAACAAGAGGGTCCTTAATAGTAAACATAAAAATAAAATTATGATGAGCTAAAAGACAACATCAGTCAACTAAAAACAAAGAAGCAGATGGGAATAAATAAAAACCCTTGCTATTTCCAAACTAAGGGGGTGGGCCCAAAATGATGTTTAAAATGATTTTTGATTATTTATTTTTTTGGCTCTTTGTGAAACTATTCGTTGGCAACAATTATTTACTCTTATTTCTATAATGATTTACTAGGAGTCTTATGCTGTTTCCCTTCGCAAAGCATGTGAAAAGTAGGTCACTTTAAGTTGACTTGTTTAAAGCTTTTATACATTTTCATATTAATGATGGGATTTTTATAAATAAATTTCCACACTGAGCATGTAAGTATCCCTCAAGACAGAGTCCCTGTCTTGTGAAGATGAGAGAGCTTTAATGAAAATCATGGAATTTGTGAACTGTCAAGCCTGCACAGTAAAAATTTTCTAAGCTTGAAAATTTTCAAAGTCCTCTTCACACTTCTTGAAATTAATGAAAATAAGAAATAAGACATTCCTCCATCAACTGACTGCTGCTGCTCAAGGAAAATGTCCACAGAATAAATGACATTAGTCTGAGGAAGAAAAATTAAATGAGAGCTGATATACAAATACAAATGTGATTAAAAGTTGACTTGCATACATTTTGTGAAAGAAAGTATTTAAAATAGTTGTGTCTGCAAAAAAAAGGTAGCCTGGGAGACAGTTTCAAATTATCTTCAAATATAAAACCAGGGAGTAGAACCAAAGAAGGCAGAATAAAGACACCAGAATACAGTAGTAAAAAGCACTAGTGTGAGGAGAGGTTTTACCCCTGAATTGGTCTTTTTGGATAAGTGCTCTGCTCTGGGGCACAGTGGCCTGTGTTCTCTTTGGCCACAGGAACTCAGGACAAGAGTCCCCTCAGGATCACATTCACCATTATTCAGAGCAACTAGCTCACTTTGAGGCAATAGACCCAAAGCCGTTTTGCAGAGAGAACCACATTAAACAGTTTGATTGGCTCTTTCTCAGTAATGAAGTTGAAAGTGATATTGAAGGACAAGGGCCAGCATTTAGGTAAAAGTGATTTGGGTATGTTTAAATCACGTTTTTTTTCCCAGTCATAAAATCAACTTTGAAACTTTCATCTCTATGTGCCCTTGGACATCTTCATAAAATCCCTGGTGGGACTGAGGGCATGTAAGTTTATGAATGTAAATATTTTAAAGAACACTTTGTATTTTGTTGTTTTTTTAGACAAAAATCACACATTTTTGCAGAATATTTGAAAACTTAAAAATGAAAACTCACTCATATTTTTTCATTCATAATCCTTATACTTTGACCCAGTATCAAATTCCAAAATCTCAATGTTAAAATGTATATTTTTAACTGATTTTCCCAATACATCTCCAAATCTGCACCACCTTGAATATTTGTGACCACTACTATTTCCATTTGTTAATTATCCATAAAATAAAGTGTAATTCTTTATGTATGGATATGATTGAACCATTTATATAGAAGTCAGTTAGAAACTTAATTAAGATGGATTAAAGTTATAAAACAAATTATGAATTTGACATTCATGGAAATACAACTCAAGTGATATTATAAATGGGAGGAAAAACACAGTTAGTTTTTCGAATAACTGATATGAGGTAGTTTGTTTCTGAGAATAAGAGGTGGCAGTGATCACTCATAGAGTTAATAGTAAAATACCCATATTAAATGTGCACATTTTTTTGTACCATGTTTCTACCATGTTTTGCTTTTGGAATTAGAGCATTAAAGTATATAAAGGGTCTCAGGGCTCCTGAGTTTTTCCATTCTCATCTTTATTAATTATTTAATCAGAAAATTTTCAGTACGTTCAGGTGTCCGTTGCCACTGTAGCCACAGAATTGAGTGCTTTGCCAGCTGATTTAGAGGATTCTTCTTCAAAGAGGCAGTAAAGATTGAGAGCTGGCTCAATCTGGCTGCAGGAAAATTAGCTAACAGCAATGAGTCTTGGTTTTTTCATCTCTAAATTGACAGTTGCAATGTTTTCTTACAGGATTTGTAAGACCTTTCTTAAAAGCACTAGGGAAATGAGTATGTAGTGGAATAGTATTTTGAAATACTAATGGAATTTCCTCTCCTGTCCCATTTCTTTGCCGATTTTCTGCTTTCCATGTACTACACTGTAGCCTTTGCCACAGGTTTCCTTTTATCAGCAAAGCTGAAAAAATCGTTTGAGTTTCCTAATCTTACAGACATTTTGAGTTTAAAAAAATGCTAGCCATTAAATGTGTTGATAATGACTCAGCACATAAATAAAAATATAGAGAGTATCAATGGCATGTACGGAGCTTTTTAAAAAAGATTTTATTCATTTATTTTTAGAGACAGAGGAAAGGAGGGAGAAAGAGAGGGTGAGAAACATCAATGTGCAAGACAAAAACATCATCAGTTTCCTCTTGTAGACGTCCTGAACCAGGGATTGAACTGCAACCCAGGCATGTGCTCTGACTGGGAATCAAACTGGTGACCAAATGAGCCACACTGGTCAGGAAAATGGGTACTTTTAAAGTATATAATTCCTGTTCCTAAGTTATTATATTAATATAGATGTTATATTATTTATTGTCTGTATTTTACAATTATTTCAGGGGAAGGATATATGAGAAAGATATCTGATATTCTTTACCTCAAAATTCAAAAATTTGAGATATTTTTGTATAAAAATAAACTCATACATACATATTATGAAACTTCCAGTATTTCAAAAAGTAGTAAAAATATACATATAACTCCAGTAAGAATCTCAGTAGAATCTCTTGAAAGCGAAAACATTTTGTCAAAATATTTGGGGATAAAAGTATGTATGGCAATTAATAGATTTAAAAAGTAAAGGTAAAGTGGGAGATTTTTCTTTTAAAATTAGAACTTAAGTTATTTTTAGTTAAAATGATACTAAAATTAGAAATTAAAAGAGAAATCAAGATGGTGGAAGAGTGAATGAAAGTCACACTGACCTCCTCCCAGGACCAATCTGGAATTACAACTAAATTGTGGAGAAATCACTTGGAACAAACAACTGAACAATAGCAAGAGAGGAGCCATATAACCTTAGACAGCCAGAAGATTCAGCTTTGGCACAACCTAACTGGTAAGGAGTGCGGTAGAGACTTGAGAAGCATGGAGGGCGCCCACGGGCAGCGGCACCAGAAGGATATTGAAATGGCCAGTAGGGTCCCTCTGAGAAGAGTGGGGTCTAAACCATAAGTGGGGATCTCCAGCCTACAGCACCAGAGCCTAAAAAGAACACAGATAACAACCAGCTGTGAAAAGTGGCAGGGTTGCTCTCTGCCAGAGACAGGCAGCTGGAGACGCAAAGAGCCATTTAAAGAGATAACACATAAATGTTTATTTTCAGCCACTTACCCTGGGCTTCAGCAAAGGTGGGGGCAGGGTGGGCTAGAGACAAGAGAGGAGAGAATGGGGAAGGAGGCTTTGGGGAGAGAAGAGAGTAGCCAGTGGGATCTGGTGCTGACTCATCCCGCATATGGCTGCAGCCATCTGGCTCAGGCAGACTACTCCGTTGAGCAGCAGCAGTGTGAGAAGACTCAATAGCCCTGCCCTTAGGAGGCTCTGCCTTGGCCAGGTGGTGCTAAAGCCTAACAGCTGAGTGCAGAGTGGCAGCCACAGACAGTAGATCCCTGGATAAAAGGGGCACAGGGTAGTCTAGAGACACTTGAGGAGAGACTGGAGACGGAGGCTTTGGGGAGAGCATGGAGAGATTAGCCAGTAGGATCCTGGTGCTGACTCATCCCCTATATGGCTGCAGCCATCAGGCTCAGGCAGACCAGTCCTTTAGGCGGCAGCAGCTATGAGAGGACCAATAACCCTGTCCCCAGGAGGGACTCTGCCCCACCCTGTGGTGTCTAAGCCTTACTGGTGAGTGTGGAGTGACTAGATTAACAACAGAAGGAGACAGCCACAGACAGTAAATTCCTGGAAGTCTCAAACAGACTGCCTAAGGTCACACAGGATCAACAGCTGACATCATTAGAGGCAGATCTGGAAAGAACAAAACAGCAGTCTCCTATTAGAGCCCATAGAAGTTCACACCACAAAGTCAGGAAATCAAGTCAGATCAATTTAAGAAGCAGAAGCAAAAAAGAAGAGTCTCACAAATAATGGGAAGACAAAGAAACACCACCCAACTGAAGGGAAAGGAGGACTCCCCAGAAAGAACTAAATGAAATAGAGGCAAGTATACTATCAGATACTGAGTTCCAAACAATGGTTCTAAAGAAGCTCAATGAGCTCAGTGAGCTCAGCGAGAATTACAAAAAACTACAGGGAAACTATGAGGAACTTACTGCAAACTATATCAGCATGAAAAAGCACATGGAAACTATCAACAAGAGACAAGAGGAAATGAGGAATACAACTTCTGAATTGAAGAACACAGTAGAAGGAATCAAAAGCATGCTAGATGGAGCAGAGGAACAATTCAGTGAGCTGGAGGATAAGGTAGAAAAAAACTCCCAGAGAGCGAGAAAATGAAAAAGCCTCAAAAAGAAAGAAGTGGTGTTTAGGGTAATGCAGGACAACCTGAAACATAATAATATCTGTATAATAGGGATACAAGAAGGAGAAGGAGAAGAAGAGGAGGTAGGGATAGAGAACGTGTTTGAAAAAGTAATGATGGAAAACTTCCCTAATTGGAGGAGAGAAAAAGTCACACAAGTCCAGGAAGCACAGAGGGCCCCATTCAAGAGGAACCCAGTGAGGCCCACTCCAAGACACATCATCATTAAAATGGCAAATAAGACAGAGAATCCTAAAGGCAGCAAGGGAGGAGCAGGTAGTAACATATAAGGGAGCCCAGGTACAGCTAGCAGCTGACTTAACAGAAACACTACAAGCCAGAAGAGAATGGCAAGAAATATTCCAAGTCATGAAAAACAAAGGCCTGCAACCAAGACTGCTCTACCCAGCAAGGCTCTCAATTAAAATGAAAGGAGAAATAAGGAGTTTCCCAGACAAAAGAAGGCTAAAAAATATGCCTCCACCAAACCAGCATTGCAAAATATGCTAAAGGGACTGCTTTAAGAAGAGGAAGAAAAAGAGTCTATGAATACCCAGTTCTTTTCACAGTCACCAATACTTGATATTACCAATATTTTTAATACTTATTCATATGATGGGTTATTTTCATTGTTACTTTATTATTTGTTGAAAATAAACCTGTTTTTGTACAGTTCTTGCCTATTTCTATTATTTTTAAAAAGCTTTAAATGACTTTTTGGTATTATTTATCCATTTTTTGATTAATTGTTTATAGAATTTTTTCCCTAAAAAAAACTATTAACCTTTTTTTAGATGTGTTGCAAATACTTTCCTATTCTATTACTTGTCCTTTAACTATTTTTATATGTATATTACTGTATAGTCTTAAATGTTTAATGTAGTCATATTATGAATATTTTACTTTATAGTTTCTGGGTTTGAATATTGCACTGCAGGGTAAGAAAAATACTGTTTTGTATTTTCTCCTAAAACTCCTTAGGTTTTACATATTGATTTTTAACTCACCTGAATATTTTTTGTATGATTTGTGAAAAAAGGCTCTATATTTCTTTCTTTCACGTAATAGAGATCCATGCACCTTATTGGTTGAATAAGCCTTATTTTCCCCATTGATTTGAAATATCAGTTTAATCATATATTTCATTGTTAGATATATATGTTTGTTTCTAGAATGCTCATTTTATTTCATTGATCTATTTGATTATTTCTGTGCTGGTGTCATGTTGGCTTAATTGCTGAGACTTTATAATGGATTTTGACATTTAAATAAATAAATAAATAAATAAATAAATAAAATCTGCATTCAAAATGAAAAAAGAAAAGGAATTCCTACTTTTTTGAGACAACATGGATGGAACTGGAGAATATTATGTTAAGGGAAATAAGCCAGTTGGTGAAGGACAAATACCATATGATCTCACCTATAAGTGGAATATAGTTAACAAAATAAACTAACGAACAAAATAAACTGTAGGCATGGAAGCATGGAGCAGACTGAAAGTGACCAGAGGAGATGGAGAAGGAGGACAATGGTGGAAAGAAGAGGAAGGGACTAGAAAAAGAACATGTATGAATGACCCGTGGACATGGACAACAGAGTGGGAATTGACTGTGGGAGAGGGGGGCGGTGTGGGATGGGTGGAGGAGGGCAAAGGGGGAAAAATTGAGACAACTGTAATCGAATAAACATGATTTAAAAATAAATAAATAAATTTGGGAAAAAAAGAAATTAAAATTGGGTCAACGGAACACCATAGACTCTAAAGCAAAGCATGACAAATATCTGACAAATGCAGCAATCATTTGGCTTAGGAACTATCAGTTTATTTAGTAAATGTTAAATGATGCTTAATAAACTGACTAGCCATACTGAAGAAAATAGCATTAGATCCTTAACAAACTCTGCAGGAATAACTTCCAGCTTCATCTATTCAAATATAAAAATTAATAAAGAAATCACAGGCTCTAGTATTCAACAGAAAATTAGAAGAAAATTCAGAACATAATTTCCCATTTTATTTATTCAAAGTATAAAACTATAACATATAGAAGTGTCCATTTTGAAAGCATTAAATTCACAGCAATGAATTCCAGACTACTTTTCATAATGAGCACCCAAAGATTCGACAGCAGAGTAGGATTAATATTGAACTCTTGTCATCCTGCCTGTTTTTTCCAAGTGATCCTGTTTTTAAGGTGTTTACATAGCAAAGATGCAAGAAGATTTTGTTTTGAAGGTGTCTAATTCTCAAATTTGAAATTGAGAGGCATAGGTCTTAGCAGAAGTCTCAACGTTCCGCAAAAAGAACTCAGACTTCTTTTAAAGTAAGTCCCAAGATGCAATTACTAAACAGAAACTTAAGTAGGACTTAAGCATCATATAACTTGTTCTTGCTCTATACTCAACACCATGCTAGAGAAATAGTAGGCACTCATAAATTATTTGAGGTTTCAATGGTGGCATGAATGGAGAATTGAAAAGTGTATTGAGAAAAAAAAACTCAATGCAAACTGATTTGAACATATAAGAAAGTACACTGTCATCACTTCAGGCTACGGATGAGCTTATCTTACATGCAGATAACATTGGTTTTGTTTCCTCCATTTTTATTGTTTTCTGCTCCCTAGCACATGCCATTATTATGGTCTCTTCCTTCAAATTATAGTAAACAAATCTCTAGATCAGTTGTCTTTCTGTGTTTCTAAGTTTGCAAGCTAAAACAAGCTTTTCAAAATGCTCATTTCTTACTAACTTTAGATAAATATATAAAAACATACACAGAATGAAAGGATGAAAGAAAGAAGAAAGAAGGAGAGAAAAAAAGGGAGAAGTGAGGGAAGGGGAAAGAAGGGGATGAGAGGAGAGGTGGGGAAATTCTATTTTATTATTTTTTTCTCATAGGTAGAAAAATACCAGCAAAGTATTTTACCCCCTATTGACAAAATGTCTTAGGGAAAAATCCTTAACTACTTAATAAAGAGTAGTTTTTCCTTGAATGCAGAAATGATGTGAAAATAACGCGATGTGTTTCCAGAGAGTAATTTGTAGCTTGCAAACCTTAACATTTCAGTTTTAAATTATATTTATATAAGGATGGAAATGACGAAAAGATGCCAATTACATCATTAAATATTAACTCATTTCCTGATTCCAAGTCAGCATTCTTGTCTTATTCTTGGAACAGTTAATGGTACTTGGACTTAAAATCTTTGGGCAACGGGCATTATATAATGGATTTCATCACTTCTCAGCATGGAGTGCAGAAACCCTATCAAACTCTAATAATTTGCTTCTAAATCAACTTAAAAAATAAAAAAGGAAGAACATTCATATATAAGTTTTTTCAAGCCAGTATGCCATTATCTCCTTACTGACCATTCAGCATTCATTTTTTAGCCTTTTAAAATGCAGAAGTTCCTCTTGAAAAACAGTATCACCTTATATTAAAAAATCTACATGTTTAGGTTTAAAATGAACATGGAAATTAGCACAGAACTTGTCGCATATTAAGTACTCATCAAACATCTGTTGAATAAACGCATTGAAGAAATCTACCACCTTTCCACACCAATTACCTATACTCTATCGTAAATTTTGGAATGTTCCTTTCTAAAGCCTTTTATTTTTGACAAAAACAAAATTGAAGACAACATGGCCACTTAACTTCCCAAATCACTGTTTTATTTACCTGGTCAACCATTTTGCCTTGTTGATTAGAATAAGGTGTCAGCTAAGAGTACTATTTATGGCCCTGAGAGGAAAATTGTCAGCCAAACCCGTAAAAATCTCAGACACTCTGATTTTAATCTCCAGTACACAAATAAATAATTGAATAACCCCATCATTACTGTGCTGTGTTTCTGTTTCAGTTTTGGAATTTAGATCAGTAACATTCATCTGGGGGTTGCCAATCTGCTTTTAGCACCAGCAGATAAGCCTAGCTTAGCTCAATGTTTAAATAATTGATGAATAATTAGAAAATTGAAAACTAGAAACACTACATACTAACTATGATGTTATCCACATTCACACTTAGAAATTTTTATTCATGTCAGCAAGTTGGTTCTTACTCATCTTTTGCCAATATCCTTTTCCTACTGAAAAATCATAAAATGAGTACATAATTACTAAAATGCTAGAAGTAAAAACTGTTTCTTTTAGATCTTAGTAATTAATTTTTTTTTTATTGAATGAATCACTAACCTCTGATACCTCTATTAAAACACAGTCAAAAACTATTAGAATCAGTGTTCGTCATATGTGCCTTAATATAACAAGTACTGCCACATTTTTTATATTTCATGCATTTAGCAGTGTCTTCATTACTCAGTTTTTCTAAATTTCATTAATTCAAGTTAACAAATACTTATCAGTTACTACTATATGTGAGATACAGTGCTGGCTGCTACAGCTCTAAAGATAAGCAAGGAAGACGTGGATCCTATTCTAATGGAGTGTCCAACATTGTTACGCGGAGAGGGGTAAAATTAATAATTACACAAAAATGTTAAATTCCCGAGAAAGGGCCATGAATCAAGGCTATCACACATAATGAGGCACTATTTACACATATTTTTCAACCCTTTTAATTCCTTGGGTTTTGCTCTGCAGTAAATAATGTTTATCTTATGAAAAAATAAGTAACTTGATCACAGGAAGAGAGGTGCCTTCTATTATTGTTAACTAGCTTGTTTGGATCTGGGTTATTCCACTAGTGAGAAAGAGTTATTTAGGAAATGTTATCATAAAACTATAAAGGACTACAAATTTCACACTTTCAAAAGTGTGGCTTTCTTTGGCGTTAAAAAATTTCATCTTTATTTTTCTATTTTCATTTGAGCAGTTTTTCCCACTCATCAAAATGAGAAGGGCTAAACTTGATATTTATGAAATAAAATGTTTTTTTTTTTTTGCTTTTTATTTTTATTGTGTTTTCCAGTTACAAAGACTCTCTCAGGTTGATACTTTGATTCTGCTTTAAATATGCTTTTAATATTTGATTTATTTTTAAAATAGCAATCTTATTATCTTTTTTAATATAGCAAATGCATTCTAGAATGTAGTTTACCTATCCAAAGTTAAGTATATAAAACATTTTAATGATATAATATTGTATTAGTTGTATTAGTTTGAGGTGTATTTTATGATATGATATATATATATAGTAAAATGATCACAATAAATTATATAAAATATTTTTCATTCTTAAAGCTTAACTTATTTAGTTTTAGAGAAAGAACACACATTTTCTCATCCATCTAATACCTGACTATTTACTATGTAGTAGAAAATTTCAATTCGTTCTACAGGTATGCAGCATATTTTCTATTTTAGTTTTTTATATATCAAGGGAGATCAACAGTCATGTCAACAAGGACACAGGTGTAAGAGCCAGGACTTACCTGAGGTCTTGGGAAGGTTCTGCTCTGATGTGAGGTGTCTCGACAGAGTGCCCAAATACTGCTCCTTCAGTGCCTGGGGGCAACATGATTGCCATGTCAACATAAGTAAGTGGACAGATACATTGATATTCATTTATATTTTTATGGGCCAAATATGCTTCCAAAAATGGGACAACTGAAAACAAGAATACAGGAAATAAGGGAAAAACTGAAAAAATAATTCAAGGTAGTACAGAGCCAAGGAGGTCAAATCTAAGTGTCACTATGCTGACCACTTTAAGGTGATTTTACTTATGAAAGTTTAGACTGAGTTCAAATTTTAACACTTTTTCCAAAGAACAAGACCCATCTCTTCCCCCCTTTTTATTTCTGAAGTTAAGGGAATTTGAGGGAAGAATAGGTCACAAAACACAGTTCGGCGTCTCTACAAACAGCAGAGCGTGAGTGAAAATGGGATGGGAAGCACATCCGTGCAGTGTGGGTCTCACTGAGCATGTAGCATTTCTCCCACATACAGCGCCCACCTTTGATGAAGTTATTTTAGAACAGCAGAGAAAGGGGTGTCTCACTTTGCCCTCGCTGGGAGTAAGGCTCTATCTAAGACCATGGACTGCTGGGCTTCATTTCGTTAGAGTTGACTCCACAGGCGCTTACGGTTACCCTAGAGGTCAGGCGCTCCAACGCCTTCCTCGGGCAAGTGGAGCCGGCACTGACTGACTGCATTCGATTTGCCAGGTTGCCAGAGCTTTCCCCTAATTTAACTGAGCAAAATGAAATGACTTTCCTTTTCGAAAATTAAATGCAAAACATATTTTTCTAAAAGAAGATGAAGACAAAACCTCTTTTTTATTTTCTTTTGCAATTTCACATAAATGTTTCAGATGATTTCTTTCAGAATAAACTTCATTTTCTTTTGGTTTGATCTTCTTCAGATGTCTTGGCGGAAGAACCTTATGCCTGACCCATCAATGGCCTCAACACTAGCAACTGAAAAGCACAAATTTTAAACATACCAAATAAAGCTGCTTCTGCTTACTATAAAGAACAATTTAAATATGGTGAATAAGCAAAAAGAAACTCCAAAAACTAGTTAGTTTATTCTTTTGATATTTTTAAAGATATTTATTATTGTGAGTGAGAAATTCTTAGAGATAGGGCTTTGATAGAAAAGTCACACTTTTATATAAAATTTTAATTTTATGATTGTGGTGGGGAGGTGGCATTTGAAAAGACATTCCAAGACATACATTTTCATCTCTCAAGGAGAGACTCTTTGGTATTAAAAAATAAGATATAACTTCCAAAAAGGAGAGTATCCATGTGTAAAGTTCAAATATTAATTTCCACTGCTCTATGATTTTGAAAACTTCTAAGATAGAATAGCAAAAATATAATTAAAGAACTGTAGCAATATTTATTTTCAAACATAGAATGACACACATAGTAATTCAGCACAGACACATATAGTAATTCAGCACAGAGAGTCAAAGTAGAATGCTATCAAAACTTTAATTTACCAAGGAGGATTAAAAACTGATAGAGGTCTCCATTCTAAGTATCAACATAGAAAATTATTCATGATTTTAAAAAATTGTTCCTGAGGAAAAATATGTATAATCACACCACTTAAAGGGCTAAATTGAAAAGTGAATAAAATAACAAAAATATAGCTAGGTGTAGGCTTCTAGATAATGAGAAAATTACTCTTATCCTTTCCATTTTTGTCTCAGAATGAGCCAAAGGGGCAAAAATTAATAAACAAAGTGGTCATGTTGGAATGAATCAATGAAGGGGGATAAAAGCCATCTGAACCAGGCACAGGAAAAATCAAAAATAAAAAAATATATATGCCCCATCAATTGGGGAAGGTCACACTATTAATAGGACACAGAGTTAGCAATTAAAAATATAGGATACTCGATTAATTTTTAATCTCAGGTAAACATTAAGCCTTTGTAGTATAAATATCCAACATTTGAAGGGAACATTTTTATACTAAAAATGATTTGTTCTTTATCTGAAATTCAAACTTAATCATTTGTCAATATTTATTTGGTACAAAGAGTACGGATCTGATATTCTCACTTTAGGAAAAGAAGAAAATGTGTGATGACTCTCTCACTGTAAGTTCTAGAAACCATGGAAACCATAAAGGAAGTGACAAAAAGGAACATAACATAGACATTTATTAATATGTGTATTTAAGCTAATGGACTAAGTGAATATTTGCTGTTGCTAGCATTGTAAGGGGTTGCTCCAAAGGATACGATGTACAATTGTGATTGATTGTGTAGATGTCAAAGGGCACTTCAGACACCTTGCAGTGAGAGTGAGGCTGTAAGACTTAGGGAAAACACAGGCTGGTAACGATTGCAATGGTTGGGAAGAATGAAGCAAGCAAACTTCGGGGTCAAAAAACACATTTCAACCATGTGATAATTTCTGGCTTCCAAATAAAAAAATACGGTTGATATAGTTTGCTTTGCTGGAGACAAGAAAGTATATACTGAATGTTCTACTACTTTATATTTAAAGACAGTTTAAGACATATGCTAGGATGTTATTCTTCACAAATTCTTCACATAAATGTCACCCCACAAAAGATGTTGAAAAAAATCAGAAAATTAAGTATATGAGGGGGAGCTCCCCCCAAAATCACAATAATACAGGCTTCCCCTGCTGGGTGAGGGTTCTAGGAGCCCATCTGTATCAGTGCACCAGCTGGTGGTGTTGTGAGAGGCTGCGTTCAGCTTCAGTGAAGTGTTTTTGAAGACTCTTCCGTTGAGTTTGCCCATTTTGTGATGGGTGATTTACAAGTACACCTGTCCACGCTATGCTGAGTGTTCAGCAGTTTTTGACCAAAAACAGCGTGGCCCCTGTGCCCCACCCTCCCTAGTCACCGGATCTTGCCCCAAGCAACTTGTTTTGTTTTCCTGGGTGAAAAAAGTCCTCAAAGGGAAATGTGTTGCTGATGTGGAAGAGGTGAAACCAAAAATGGCAGAAGTGCTAAAAGGCATCAAAATCAATAAGTTCAAAAACTGTTTTGAGCAGTGGAAAAAATGTTTCAATAGGTGTATTGCATCAAATGGATAGTACATTGAAGATGGCTGAAGTTTAAACATGTAAGAATACACAATCTTTTATAAATAAATTCCAGTTTTTGGGGGGGTCCCCTCTCATGCGTATTCTTCCTAATGTGGCTAGTTTGGGTCTCTAGTGAGAGAGAGAAAGAGAGAGAGAGAGAGAGAGATAGAGCGAGCGAGAGAGAGCACGCGCTTTTTTGTTCCCCTGGGAATATACCAGCTATATTAACTTGGGTTTGGGACAACCAGGTGTTTTTTTAAATGACCAATGAACTTTTCAAGACTTCATGAGCTTTTTGATGGGTCCACCCTCTAGTAAGACTAATAGGCCTTATGGTCAAACAGCTCCACCTGTGGCACCCAACAATCCAGGGCCAGAGAAGAAAAAGGAGGAGTGTTGATCCCCTTGGTGGGGCAACGCTGTGATCCTCTGGGCGTGAAGCTGTAGCTTCCTGGGGAAGCCAACAGGCTTATGCTCCCTGGTTTATTAAACTCAATGTCCAATTTCCTTTGTTCGCCTTGTTATTAATAATTACCTAACTACCAATGTGACATTCCCCCATGAAGACCTTGAACCTTGTAGTTTTACAAGGGTATGTGGATAAAGTTCTCATTTTTCTGTAGCTGCTTCTTGCTATCAAAGGGGCATAGTCCTGCCTATCTCAGGCCCAGAGGGTTCTGCTACCTGCTAAAGGAAGAAAGGAGCAAAAACAAAGGAGAGCCTTCGTGCAGGGAAGAGGGGTTTTGCAAAGTCCAGGTCAGTCTGGCATTGTCTTGGGAGGTGGCATACACAATGTCTAGAGGATGAAGATGTTGGACAAGCTGGCATCCTTATTGTATTGACAAACCACCGCTCCTCTCATTCCTCCTGGCTCGCCACATGTTGTTGGTGGAAATAAATCTCTTCCACAAGATTGTGAGGAAATATTCTAAAGACTTTCGCATGGGAGATTGTGGTGTAGCAAGATGGTTTATTCGTGTGAGGCTGCCCCTGTGTTTCCAATTTCCCATTTCCCTCTGTCCCGCCATGGAAAAAGTCCAACCATGTCCTCAGCAGAGCCAAAACAAAAGACAATGTCCAGAGTTTCTGCTTAATGTTAATGCTTAGTCCTTGTAGCCCATGTAGTCTGCCACGGGCCCCCAGTACCTGCTAGACCCGCACGGTTATGTGCTTTTGGTTGAGGAAGCCCACAAATGAATGGGGTGAGTGCAGGTCATGTGAAAGAAAGAGAAAGACAGCTAGAGACATGAAGAGAGAGAGAGAGAGAGAGAGAGAGAGAGAGAGAGAGAGAGAGAGAGAGAGAGAGAGAGAGAGGGGGGGAGAGAAAGAACTCTCACAAAGCTCTTAAACATAAGTAGATAACATATTGTTTATGCTTGAAAAATGAGGAAGCTCTAATCAGATACATTAAATACCTCCCTGATGAGGCTAGAATCTTGGCCGCCAGCTTTTCACACGTGTACACTGTGCATTCTGCAATGAGCAGACTTAGGAAGCACCCCCAGCTTTTTCATTCTTACCTCAGTGACTTCCAAATATCAATTTCTTTAGCTATAAATAGAAATAGTAATGCCAACCTTACAGTGTAAGTTAGGGTTTTCTTAAATAGCATATACATGTATCCTGGTTCATCATAAGAATTCAGTATTTCTCAATTCCCCTCTCTCTATCAATTTTCTTTATGAAAATCAGCCACAGAAGCTGTACACACTGTGTGTGTAGCGTTAATGGCCTGACATGGGTTCACTCATTAATACAAGAAACCTCTATTCCCAAAAGGTCCCAGCCTCATGCTGAATTTTGAAATCTGAAGTTTAGACACTGTAAAGAGATTTTTAAATGTCAAGTAGTAAATGCATTTTATTAAACAAGACTTTATTCAGTAAATCAAGGAATTCCCCAATGCAGCTGCTCAGGTATCAGATAAGATCAATCAATTCTCAAATAAGCTCTGTGAAAAGAGACTTTTTTAAAATAAAATACTATGCC